CATTTCTTGGCAAAAGGTACATTCAAATGACTTTGACACTGCCAAGAAGGCTTTTTCTGATTCCGCTGACACTGGTTAATAGTGAAGAACACCTGTTTTCTGTTACAAATGCCATTCTTTGCTACATTATAGTACTTATTTTCTGGTTTGCATGCTTTGTATTCCTTGTCTTTTTGCTTAATTTAGCGAGGATTTCTAGCAGCACTGTGTTGAAATGGAAGGAGTGAGATAAGTATCCTTGCTTTGTTGCTGATATCAGAGGCAAAAGTTTCAATCTCGCCACATTGAGGAGGATATTAGCTGTGAGCTTGTCAAATATGACCTGAATTACTTTGAGGTAAATTACATACATCTCTAGTTTGTTAAAAGAGTTTGTATCATGGGCCTGGCACAGTAGCCTAGTGGCTAAAGTCCTTGCCTTGCATGCAGAGGATCTTGAGGGCGCCAGTTTGTGTTCCAGCCACTCCACTTCCTATTCAGAACCCTGCTTGTGGCCTGGGAAAGCAGAGGACAGCCAAAAAGCCTTGGGACCCTGCACCTGTGCAGGGGGTGCGGAAGAGGCTCCGGGCTCCTGGCTGGGATAGATCAGATCCAGCCATTGTGGCCACTTGGAGAATGAACAATTCGGCAGAAAAAAATTTCTCTCCGTCTCTCCTCTCTGTAAATCTACCTTCCCAATACAAATAAATAAATATTTTTTAAAAATACAAGAAAAGACAACAAGAATACAAAGAGAATGAATTGGTAGAACCAGAGTAAATACAAAGTAAAAATATATATATATAGTCATTATAAAATAAAGTTTATTTTCTTGTGATTTCAACAGGTGTAGCTATACCATATCACCTTGATCAACACTTCCATCTTTACACCATTTCTGTCTTCTTACATTTTATTAGTCAAGAGGATCTAGGCTGCTCCTTTCAATAGTTCGAGTGAAAATTTTCTTCCTTTAATATCTATCCTTTTTTTTTCTTTTACCTTCCACAAAACATTAGACTTGAAGACAATTCTAGTTTTTTTTTCTACTTTAGAACAAGGTTGGCTTTTCCTCCGTATTCCAATAGCATGTGTCTTATTTCTAAAATCTCATTAGAGTGGCCTTTTCTGTCTGTGTTTCTACCAACACAGTGTTCATCATCACTGGAAAATAAAGTCGGGGCCAGCATTGTGAAGTGCTGGGTAGGACTGCTGCCTGTGATGCCAGCATCCCAGATGACTGATGGTTTATATCCCTGCTTCCACAGTTCTTTCTTTCTCTTTAAGATGTATTTATTTGTATTGGAAAGTCAGATTTACAGAGAGAAGGAGAGACAGAGAGAAAGATCTTCCATCTTCCGATTTGCCCTTCCAAATTGCCACAATAGCTGGAGCTGAGCTGATTGGAAGCCAGGAACCAGGAGCTTCCATGTGGGTTCAGGATTCCAAGGCTTTGGGTCTTCCTCAATTGCTTTCCCAGGCCACAAGCAGGGGGCTGGATTGGAAGTAGAGTAGTGGGGGCACAAATTGGTACTCATATGGGCATTAGATTCTGGTGCACGCAAAGCAACAATTTAGCCACTAGGCTATCATGCAGGGCCCTCTGACTCAATTTCTGTATAACTCTGCTAATAAGCCTGGAAGGCAGTGGGATATCCCCAGTTACTCTTAAGCCTAAGCCTGGCCCAGTTGGCCATTGTGGCCATTTGGGGAGTGATCAGTAGAAGGAAGATTCTTTTCTGTCCATTTCTCTGTCTTTGCCTTTCAACTGAACTGAAAATTAAAAGTGCAAATTTGTTTGTCACAGTTCTAGAAGCTGGGAAGTCTGCAGGTGCCAGCTGATGGAATGTTTTGTGAGGGTATGATTTTCAGATAGCCGTCTTTTTCACTGTAATCTCACTTGGTAGATGGGGCCAACAAACTCCCTTGGCCTTATTTATGAAGATAATGATTCCGATCCTTAGAACTTGACCCCTGTGATCGAGTTACACCCCAGAGGTCCCACTTCCTAACCACATCAACCTGAGTTTAGGACCACAAGCATTTTGGAGGGACGTGCTGATTCAATTCATTGCACCTACCAATCAGCTGAGAGATTTTGGAAGGCTCTACTTAATTTTCCTGCCCACACAGAGAGATGAGCAGCCCTGTTTTTGGTCCACTTGGTTTTTGTTGACTCAGATGAGGCACTGTGGCATCTGCTTTTCTCCTTCGGGTGACTAGATTGTGCTGTTTCTATGAGTCCTTCAAGGCTTGTGAGACATGTATGAGTTCTTTTGTTTGCCACTGAAAGGCTGAGGCAGTAGGCTCAGAGATCAGCGCCCACCTTTTCCTCATCTCCCTCCACCCCTTCTCCCCAGGGAAGTTGGGAGCTTTGCGTTTTCATCCTGCATGAGGATGATGATTAATGTTCTATCAGCCCAGAAATGGATCTCCATCCTCTCAAGTGGATAAACCATGGTTCATCTGTGAGAACCTCAGGATGGGCAAGACGGGTGCCAGTTTTCTGGGCAGCGTTGGAGAAGTAAAGTAGTCTGGCAGGTGAATTGACTGTCCCCCAGGAACATCAGGGCACTGGGACTTCACTAACTCTGTGCTGCACAGGAGGCAGAAGCAAGGACACATGCCATTCAGGTAGCCGCCCCTTCTCCCCTGGATGGCTCACATGTGCCCAACTGTCAGAGCTCCAGGATGGGTAAAACAGAGAGCTCTAGCGTAAGAATTGGGGTGCTGTTCATGTGAGCCAGTGGCTCCCCGATTCTGAGGGAAGCTGGAGGAGAGGTGGTTTTTCCCTGGCTCTATGGTGCTGGGAAGGGACATGATCTCTGGTGAGAGGATGTCCCAGTTCTCCCTACTGCCTCGGGTGAGTGTGCAGGAACTTTTCAGTTCATACTCTACTTCCTTGAGTTATCCATGGAGTTTGCTGAATCACTGTGTTGAGCCTGGAAGAGTGTCCAGGGCTTCTGGCTTACGTTTTTGCTAACTTGTGATATCAGTTCCTTAGTTTTATTGTGAGCTTAGTAAGTTCTTAATTATTTTTTCAGTCTCTCTTTCTCTTTTTTAAAAAAGAAGCTTATTTTCATTTGAAAGATTGATTTTACAGGGAAAAAGAGAGACAGAGAAAGATCTTCCATCCACTGACTCCATCCCCAAATGGCCACAGCAGCCAGAACTGAGCCAATCCAAAGCCAGGAGCCAGGATCTTCTGAGTCTCTCACATGGGCTCAGGGTCAAAGGCTTTGGAACACCCTCCATTGCTTTCTCACGCCATAAACAGAGAGCAGAATAGGAAGTAGAGCATCTGGGACACGGACCAGCACCCATATGGGATGCTGGCGCTTGCAGGTGGAGGTAAACCAGCTGGGCCATTGTGCTGACCCTAGTGTTTTTCTTCTTGAAAAATTAACTATGTAAAGGTACCATGGATTATTAAGACTGCCTCAGGCTGTACTGAGTTTTTAGTGAAGTAATGTATGTATTTCCTGTGGGATTTACTGGCCCCTGATCTCAGTGGAGCAGGAGCCCAGATTCGTTTCATGGAGTCAGTTGGGAATGCTTATTTTCTGCTTACTCAGCAACCTGGCTGAAAGTGTGACTAGCCATTTTCTCCTACTCAGTGTTACCTTCTCTGTATATGTGACCTTCTTCCAGTAACTGCTTCCTCACCTTCCTGCATGCTCTGGGGCATAGGCTGCATTCCAGCACCACTGCTCTTCACCAGGGTTGGAACCTTCTGGTCAATCACAAACAGCTGCTCAAAAGCTTTAGAGAAGTGCTGTGGTCCCTGGTGATGCGGATGTGTGGTGGTGGAGTGGGCAGTGATGATCTGTTTTCCACATGCCCGTTGGAACTACGGTGGGAAAGGAGGGCTGCACAGACTCAAACTCTGATAGCATTTATAGAAAGCATTACTCTGCATTGCTTGAAATCAGTTCTCCCTGGTTCCTTCTTTGACTTGCAGGACTAAGACTATAATTGGACTAATCTTATCCCTATTCCTTTTCCCCTTAGGGACAGTTTCTTTTCCCCAAGAGGCTTTTGTTGACTTATGCAGCCAGATTTCTTGAAAGGACCTCTCTGCAGTTTTCTGGATATGCATAGGCATGGATGATTCTGAGCCAAAACAGACAGATGAGGCTCAAAGGGAAGGTGTGTAAGTAAAACATCCGCTTTAAAAGTTGGGCCCACGTGGTAGCCTAGTGATTAAATCCTCGCCTTGCATACATGGGGATTGCATATGAGCACCGGTTCGTGTCCCAGCTGTTCCACTTCCTATCCAGCTCCCTGCTTGTGGCCTGGGACACCAGTGGAAGACGGCCCAAAGCCTTGGGATCCTGCACCTGTTTCGGGGAGCCTGGGGAGGCTCCTTGGCTTCGGATCAGGTCAGCTGCAGCCATTGTGGCCACTTGGGAGGTGAACCCTCTGTCTCTCTTCTTTGTAAATTTGACTTTCCAATTAAAGAAAAAGGGGGAGGGGATAGATACCACTAGTCCCACTAGAATTTGAGGCTCATCGTCTTATAGAGGAGGTATACCCGAAAGGCAGTCTGGAAGTTGGGCACATGTGCATTGCCTGGGGCTCATTCTCTTCCTTCTGTGTGCCCTTAGGTCACTTCGCTCTCTGGGCTCCAACCGACTTAATTTATTTCAATTAAAATTGTAATAACAACTCACACTTTATGATTTAGATTACTAAATAATATATTAAAACTATCTCACACATTCTGAATTTGCTTTTTTTTCCCCCCTATTAAATGATCTCTTGTGACTTATTAAGGGTGGGGATTATTTCATTCTGTTTCTATCATGTTTTGCATTCAACCTTTTTCTGTTTCTTTTTTCTTCTCTTTAAAACAGTAGAGGAATACCTTAAGAATAGGATTGCATTATTGCTACACTGATAAGTTTTTAAAGGAAACATGCTTCAGGCTTGAAGTACAAGTGATTTTTCAAGCTTCTTAAGAAATTAAATAGTATGTTCAAACGTTATTTTTAAATTTTGGTGTTAAAGATCCCCCCTCATGCTTGCTTCAGCGGCATATTACTAAAATGAGAATGATACAGAGAAGATTAGCATGACCACTGCACAAGGATAACACACACATTCGTGTAGCGTTCCACATTTTTACCTCAATATTACGTGCTCCTGTTAGAGTAAAGGTCTCATCTCGATGTTAAAAAAATGAAGAAAAAATTCCTTTCTTCAGTCTTACAGTACAGGTTAACAAAAAACTTTCGTATTTTGTGTTACATCCCAGGAAGCAATAGCAAGCACTTATTTCTCTAAAGAGTAGCTTCTTTTTCTTTTGTAAAATTCAATCCACCACCAGACACAGTTCAATAGTTTTGAGTGGTGCTTGGGGGTATTGTGAAAGCTAAACTATAGCTTCATGTACAGTGTGCTTATGTAAACTGTCGTGATGTTAACTGAATGGATTTTTCTACCTTATCTTCAAAGGCAGGACTCTGGAGATAGGCTAAGTTTCTCCAGTTACAAGCAGGAAATAGATGACTTTCCAGTTGAGGAGATAGCCAATCATCTCATAATCATTTCCTTGTCATCCTTCTTACACAATAAACCTGGCAACTTGTTCAGAACATGGGCTCACCAGGTCAGCAGGCCAGCAAAGATATGTTGGATCTTTTTTTAGAATAATTTCTGCCCGTAACAAGGCAGAATAGTGCAGGATGGAAGTAAAGATGATGAAGATGACTTTAGAGTACTTTTTGATTTCCAAAGACAATTATTTGACCATAGCTGTTGAATGAAATGTTACGAAGTATTGTACTTTGGAACCCTGGAAGAAGTCAACAGCATGTTTGCAGATGTCTGTTACACAATCACAGAAGGCACCTCTGATCCCACTTTGCAAATAAGAAGTTGCGATAAGTTCATGGAGCCAAGTGGGCAGGAAACCCATCAGTGGGTCACTCCCAATGAATCTGAGTGAAAACCCAAAATACTACCCAATTTGTACCCACGATGGGGAAATTTCCACGCTATGGCAAAAATGTAGAAAGACCTTACATTTTCACTGTGCTTTTCTCAAACACTGCTGATTACAAAGCTCCAGGGAATCCATTTCCAACTCAAATATGCAATAAAAGTTTTTGCTTACATTTCCCAAACCTATAATCGCAGGGTTACTGATGTACATAGTTTCGCCTTTTGAAATTTAACAAGCCAGACAATAGAGCAGTCAGTGATCAAGACCAGGCCCATCCAACCAGGATGAGAAACTTTGCAACTGGAGTTCTATTTATATGGAGTTTTAACATTCCACTTAGGCCACACCTGGTTAAGTAGATAGTCCTGTAGCATTCAGAAGCGGAGGCCTTGTTGCTATCATTGGCAAGAACAACTGCTTGCTGGCATTTTGGTGCAGCGGGCTGAACTGCTAGTTGCAATATTGGCCTCCCATATCAGAATGCTGGTTCAGGTCTCAGCTGCAACACTTCATGTTCAGTTTCTTGCCCATGTGCCCATTGGTAATTGCGCAGTGCCCAAGTGACTGGATCCCAGCTACCTGTGTGAGAGTCTCAGATGGAATTTCTGGCTCCTCTTGACTTCAGCCTGGCCCAGATCTGGCTGATGGTGGGCATTTAAGGGATAAGTCAGCTCTTTTCCGCTATCCCTGTTACTCTGCCTTTCAAATAAACAGATCTTTAAAAAAAGGCAATCCCTAGATTACAAAGTTCGAAGCAAAATTAAGCAAAGTTCGGGCATCCCGGGTTACTCTCTAAAGTGGTAATGTTACATTCCTTTTATGCAAAGGCAAAAAGGTTTTTAACTCCTTATAATCTACTAGTCAGGTAGTGTAACAAGTCAGTAGGTTGAGTATAGTTCCCCCATTTCCAGTGTTATACATAGTCGGATCGAGAAGAGGCAAGTATCTAACAAGAGTGGTCACTATAAAACACATGTAATATAATCATTACAAAAATGTTTAAAGTACACTGCTAGAGAGTGAGTCAAGACTTAGGATTGAGGTAGAATTAACACTAAAAGGGAAGGACTTCACAGAGAAGGCCTTTTCAAAGAACTGTCCAGTCTAGCAGCTGGGATGATAGCGGTTCCAAACTCAGTAAAATACACATGTACCTAGTATATTTTTTGGGCAGGGCCTAACAGTCCCTAACGGCATGAACAGTAATACAACTCAAAATTAGATCAAAGTTAATCCTTGAGACTAGAAGAAAGTGTTTTTAGATATGACATCTTTAATTTAAAAATTGTATTTATTTGAGAGACAGAGAGAGAAAGAGCTCCCAACCACTGGTTGACTCCCAAAGTGCCCACAGTGGATAGCAGGTTGAGGCCAGGAGCCAAGAACTCATATGGGTTTCCCATGTGGACAGCGGAAAACCAATTACTTGGGCCATTGTGGCTGCCTTCTTGGGCCTGCCCTAGCAGGAAGCTACAAGTCATAAGCTAGTGTTGGGTATTGAACCCAGACATTCTGATGTTGGGTACAAGCATATTAGCCAGAAAACTAAACAACCTGCTCCATTCTATTTAAAGATTAATTTATTTTTATTGGAAAGGCAGATATACAGAGAGGAGGAGAGACAGAGAGGAAGCTCTTCTGTTCACTGAATCACTCCCCAAGTGGCCACAATGACCGGAGCTAAGCGGATCCAAAGCCAGGAGCCAGGAGCTTCTTTTGGGTCTCCCATGTACACGCAGAATCCCAAGACTTTGGACCACCGAGATGCGAACCAGTGCTCATATGGGATCCTGGCACCAGCAAGGCGAGGACTAGACTACTGCACTGGGCCCACTACTCCATATTTTTCATGAAATTTTTTCTTTATGAATTTATAGTAATGAGCCTTTGTTTTAAACCTAAAAACCTGGTGGTGGAAAATTCTGCCTAGTTATATAACTAAGAATTAACAGATTTAAAAATTGATTATTTTATTTATTATACTGAATAATATCAAAATCCTATTAGGACACTTTGATATTTCTGATATAAGAAAAAGGCAGTTTTTAATACTTGAACAAAGAGCAAGGATTGATCATTTAATTTTTAAAATTGCATGTTTATATGTACCATTTTATTTTATGCATGTTTCTTCTGTACACTTTATCTCTATACATTGTGTATGTAGCTCAACACATTAAAATCATATTAGACATATTGTTTTGATGAATGAGAAAGCACTTCCTTCCCTGCACATTTATTAATACCCAATAGCTTCCAGCGTCTAATCCAGCTAGAGATACAAGGACGAGTAAAAATGCTCCTTGTCCATGAGGTCTCACAGTTTCCTAAGGGAGTCACTGATCATGACAGTGTGTGCAGGGTAAAGCTGGCAGGCCCGGAAGTCAGACAGACCAGTGTATGTGTATCTGTATTTGAAAGGGTGACAGAAAGAAAAAGAGAGTAAAAGCTATTCCATCCAGCGCTTTACTCTCCAAATTTGAGGCTGAAATCGGGAACTAGGAACTCCTCCAAATCTCCCTCGCACTCTGCTACCGGATGTAGGTGTAATTAGTGATGACCCACCTTGCTACACCAGAACACCTGCCAAGAACTTTCATTTAAGTGACGATATTCAAAATCAATTCCTTCACCTCGGGATTGATACTATCCTTAATAACACACACACACACACACACACAAACACACATGAGTTATATATAAGCACTGACTATGAGTTGGGAAAAATGTATAAGATTATAACATGACCCTGGATAAGTTCTTTGTTCCTTGTCTGGAGGAATACTTGCTGTTAAGCTGTATTTCATGTATGAACAGGGTGTTTCTCCATGGTCTATCGTTTATTCTGTGGAGAGTGCTTGGAAGGGTGCATTTCAATGCACACTTTAAGTTGCTTATCTGGTAGACAGACTTAGAATCTACCAGATAGTGTGTAAAATGTTATTTTCATATTTCCTCTGGAATGTATTATATCTCAAATATAAGGAGGACAAGCACGATTTTAGAGGTTATCCAGCCATTTTATCTTTCTATTAGTACGTTCACTCTCATTTGTATCAGACTTAAGTAAATACTAGGTTGATTTTTTTTTTAAGACTCTTTCAGCTATTGCATTTGAAATCTACTCCAATTGATTGGGTGCTCTTCAGTAATTTCCTACAATGTGATCATTCCTTCCTTTTTGCATTTTCCTCCAGCAATCATCAGGAAGTAATGTATTCATCAGACATAAGAGAGTGCCCGCACAGAATGTCCCTCTTGCTGAGGCAGACAATTGATCAGCTCTCAGCAGTTGGATTAGAGCGTATCAGTGAGATCTTAGCGAGAAGCTTGGCTAGGTTGCACCGATATTCATCACAAGCAAAGAACTCAGCTGTGGGGCCGTTTGATGCGAAATAAATAAACGCCTTTAGCAGAGAGAGCATTGTCACAGCATCAGGAAGTCCTGCTTAAAAACAGAAGGGATGAACCGGGCTAGCTTTCGCTGTCACAGCAGGAAGCCATTTTCTTTGTGCTCAAAGTAGTACCTTTCAGCTGGTATTTCCCCCTTGGGATTAAACATTGATGCAAAATGTTATCAAAAGTAATTACAAATAGTCTCATCAGAGAAGCTCTCTGATTGATCATTAAGTTACCTGGAAGCCTGAGGGTTTTTTGTGGTTTTTTTTTTTTTGCTTTTTAATGAAGCTCTGTAGACACGTGAATCATTTCCTCCTGCACCCTAACAAAACGAAAGATCAGGATAACCACTGTGCCTTCTCCAAGGTTAGCTTTTCATTCCATTTCTCCATGAACTTTTGGAAGCATCCGCAACGGAAGGGAATCAGAAAATAGGAGGAAACCAGAGAGATGGAAGAAATGTGAGAGTAACGGTTGTGTTAGATACCACGTGACCGGGCGAGAAACCCAAGTGTCCTCCTTTACTCTGGCATCTACTGCTGCCTCCCTCTGGGAAGGTCATCATGCAATCCTGCGTGGATTTGTGCATCCGACCCTGTCTACTGAAGGTTGCTCGGCCCATTCCCACACTCCCTTCCCAGTCCCCAACTGGTGAACAGCTGGACTAGACGGTGCTACCCGGTCCCCAACTTCAGAGGGTAATCGCCGGTCCAGATTACCTGTGCTTCTGACCCACCGCTCGTCCAGCTAAAGTGCCCACAACTACCCCTCACATTCATT